ATTTTCATTTGAATAAAGAATAATAAAAATAAATAATATCATTTATTTATCTTATTTTTATTTATTGATTGTTGTATAATATTTATTTTTATTGTTTGTTTTATCAACATCATTTCAATCAAATTAATTTAATAAAGATAATAATGATACAAAAATAAGATAATAAAATAAGAATAATAAATAAAAGAGAAGAGAAATGATATAATTATTATAAAGATACAATAAAAAAGAAATGAAAATCAAATAAAATGATAAAATTATATTAAATAACAACATATTAGAAGAAATAATCATTGTTTAAATATTAATATTTAATATGAGAAAATATCAATATTATTAATAGGGTACGAAAATTAGCAAAGAAAAAATGCATCTAAATAATTTACAAAAAAAGAAAAAAGAAACAAAATAAATTTCCATCAATAGAATATTTCACTTTATTATATTTTGCTCCTAAAATAAAAATAAAAAAATAAAAAAATATGATAAATATACAATCTGTATATATTTATGTTTATATTTTATATTCATTTCTATTTTGTATGAAATATTAATGAATTAGATTATTTGATGAATCATATTTAATTATTTTTATTATTTATATTCTTTTATTATTATGTTATTTATCTATCGTATTTTTATATATTTATTTTTATATTTATTTCTCTGTTTATATTATTTATATCATTGTGTTATTCTTATTATCTATATATTATTATATTATTCTTATTTTATGTTTTTTGTGTTTATATTCTTTAGATTTTCTTATTGTTATTCTTTTCTATCTAGATGTATTTTATTATTTGTTTATTCATCTTTATCATTTTTATATTATTATCATTTTTATATCTACTTTCATTTTATATTTATTCTGTTTTTATTTATATTAATATTAATTTTATCTTTTATATTTTGATTTTATTATTATATCATTGATTATCATTTCTCCTTTTATTTATCATTTATTCTTATTATTCTTTTGTTTTATATTCTATATCATATATTCATATCATTTTCATTTATATTTTATCACTTATTATATGTTATAATAACATAACACTTATGATTGATTATATAATAAACATCATGATGAAGTTATACATATAAATAATAAACATAAAAAATAATAAAATATTTTTCATCAATAAAATAATATTACTTATTTTACATCATTAAATTAGACACTTTTTATTGAATATTTCTAATTTTTACATTAAAAATACACTTTTTATTTCTTCTTTTCTTCTTTTATTACCTCTTTGTGATTTATTATTTTTATATTCTTCTTCTACTTTATTTTTATTCTTTTATATATTTATATTCTTTTTATATTATTTGTTTTTCGTTGTTTTTCTATTTCTTTCTTCTATTATTTATCAATTTTATATTCATTTATTCTTTTTATTTCTTTTTTATTAGTTCTTTCATATTGTATATTTCTTTATTATTTCATTTATATATTATCTAAATATATGTTTTATTGAATTCATGTTGAATAAAATATTGAATATAATCAATATTTTCATTCTTAATTATTTATTATTTATTCTGAAATGTTGTGTATATTTATTATATTAAATGAATATGATGAATGAATATCAATATTATTGTTTATTTGATTTTAAAAAATAATAAATGAATATGAAATAATGAAATAAAATAATGAAATGATAATGAAATAGAATAATCTAATATTGAACAAATTAAATAAAGAATAAATTGAATATATCATTATTGTTACTTTATTATTTGTTATTTCAATTATTAAATATTAATAAATTATTATTCATGAATATTTAATTGATTGATATTTTACAATTTCATTTTCATTTTATTTAATAAATGAAATATAAATAATAAATGAATGAATAATAATTTAATATATGAAATAATAAAAAGAAAAGAAAGATAAATAATAAAGAAATATGATGTATTTAATACATACTATAAATTATTATCAAAATAATAATAATATCAAATGATGAATTATTTTTATTTCAAAATATTTTGCATCAATAAAATATGTTGCTAAATATTTTGCATCATTAAATTTTGCATCATTAAATTTTGCACTTTTTTTATTTGTTTCAATAAAATTTGCATCCTTTATTTTTTCTTTCTTTTCTTCTTTTATCATCTCTTTTGTTTTATTACGCTTCATCTTCTTTCTTTTTATATTCTCTCCTTTCTACTTTTATTCTTTCTTCATCATATCAAACTTCTTACTTTCTTTTTATTCTTTTATATCATTCATTCTCTTCTTTTTCAATTATTTCTTTTTTTCGTTGCCTTATTTATCTATTTTATTTTTATGTTGAATAAAACATGATAAATAAATATAAATCATCAGTAATATATCAAAATGATACAATTACATATTTTAAATTAATGAAAATAATAAGAAATGAAATAAATAATGAAATAACACATATTTAAATGAATAATAAAATAAATGAAAATATAATAAAATTATTATTCTTTTTATTTTATCAAATTATCATTGTTTCATTTCATTTCATACTTATTATCATTATAATTTAAACTGATTAAGAGTGTTATTTATTATTAAAATAAAATAAAGAATATAATTATATTTAAATTGATTCTTCATTATTATTCATCATTTCTATTTCATTATTCTTATGATTTATTTTATATTTGAATTAAATAACAAATATTATATGAATTAATACAATAACTATAATATTATAAAGAAGAATATAAAGAAAATACAGAAGAGAGAAATGAAATAATATTTAAAATAAATAAGAAAGAAGAGTAAAAAAAGAATAAAATTATTACAAAACAAATATAAAGAATGAAATATTATTTAATAAGAGATGAAATATCAATTCAACACATAATGAAACAAATAAATAATATGAAATAAAATAAAAGTGAATAAAAATAAGATAATAATAATTAAATAGATGATGAATGATTTTATTCAATTTCATTCATTTGATATTTCATTCTTTATTTTATTATCATTTAATTTGTTTATTATGTATTTCTTATCATTTAAATTATAAAATGAAATTTATTTTTATTCTTTAACAATTCAATTATCTTATTTCTTCTTTAATATTCTTCAAAACATTCTTTAAAGCAATATTTTGGTATTGATTTATTTTTCTTTAATTCTTCTTCACATCCACATCCATAAAAACATCCATTTCTAAATGATGTAATTGATGATGGTATATTAATTGATGTTAATGTACATTCTTCACAACAACAATCTCCTATTTCAATTACACTTGTTGGTATATTAATTGATTTTAGTGATGAACATCCATAAAACCAAAAATCTCCTATTTCACTTATACTTGTTGGTATATTAATTGATTGTAATGATAAACATTTTTCAAAACAATCATCTCCTATTTCAATTACACTTGTTGGTATATTAATTGATGTTAGTGATGAACACTCATAAAAACAATATTCTCCTATTTCAATTACACTTGTTGGTATATTAATTGTTCTTAATGATGTACATCCAGAAAAACATTTATATCCTATTTCAGTGATTGTTGATGGAATGTTAAATTCATTAATATCTTTCTTTTCAATAATCTTTCCATTTATCATTTTTAAATTCTTTGGTATTTCAATACTAATTAACACTGCTTCATTCATAAATATTCTTTCTTCACTTATATATTTTATATCTTCTATATTAATTGATGTTAATGATGAACATCGAATAAAACAATCATCTCCTATTTCAATTACACTTGTTGGAATATTAAGTGATGTCAATGAATAACATTCACTAAAACAACTACCTCCTATTTTACTAATACTTGTTGGTATTTCAATTGTTTGTAATGATGAACAATATTTAAAACAATAATTTCCTATTTTACTAACATTTGTTGGTATATTAATTGATTGAATATCATAACATCTATAAAAACATCTAAATCCAAGTGATTTAACTTCTATTGGTATTGTATTTCCATATGTATTTCTATCTTCTTGTGTATATGCGATATTTTTATATTCATTCATTTCTTTTTTCTCTTTTAAATATCTTGAATAACTCACATCATACCATATTACATATTTAATTATTCTTCCTTCTTTAAATATTTCATCTTCTTTATTATAAATATGAAATGTTTCAATATTAGGAAACAATTTTCTTGAATGTTGATTCAATGGAATTGGATTAAAATGAAATCGTTCCATATTTCCTTGAAATCTTTTAATTCCAATTTCTAAATTAATAAAATCATTAATATCTTCAAAATACTTCGAGACAATCATTATTTCATTATATCCTATTTTCATTCTTTCTTTATTATTTTATTATTTATTAGTTCTTCTTTTATTTTTAGTTTGAACTTATTTATTTTTAAGATAACCGTCATTCAATTTTTCTTTTTATTATTTTTTTAATATAAATTATTAATAACAAATAATTTATATTTCAATAAAACATCATTTTTTATTTATTTGATGAATATGAATAAATAAAATATCATAGAAATGTATTCATACAAATGGTAAATATTCAATTAATAAATATAACAATAAATTGATAATATGAATAACAAAGAAATGAACAATTCAATGAATGTAATGTATTTATTTCTATCTTTCTTTATTTCTATCATTTCAAATTAAGAAATCTCATTTTTTAATTTATTTTTATTATTTGTTATATAAAACATTATATAATTCATATTTATTAATATAAATGAATTATAATATCATATTTGACTTTAATTGTAAATTTAATACATATAATATTCATATTAATTCATTGTATATTAAATTATTAATGATATTAAATGAAATATTTCATTATAATCTTATTTCTCTTTTTTTAATTTCATTTGTAATTCACTTATTTTTAATTTCATCATATTTTATTTTCATTTAATTGAATTACATTCATTATTTATTTCTGATTTGATTTTATTCGGATATTTTTCCAATTCAGGATATACAACAAATTTTATTGCCATTGTTATGGAGTAATGCCTTGTCGTCTTGCAAAGAAAACCAAACAAGACATAGAAATACAAGGTTAAATACCAATAACACCAATAAAAGATATTCCAATTATAATAAAAGATATCACAATTATAATAAAAGAAATACCAAGAGAAAAGGGGTTAAAAAACAACAAAGACACAGAAGAATGAATAAGGAACAGGATAAACACTGAAATAATAATGAATATACAAACAATAAACATAGATGGTTAACAATAAGTGAGATCCATGAAAGAATAAAAGGAATAACAAATGGGAAAAAGGAGAATATTCAGAAATACTCAAAAAATATGAAGGTAAAATGAAAAGATGGTATGATATTCTTCAAGAAGTATATGCAATTAGAAAGAAAAAGAGAATTGAAAAAATGCAAGAAGAATTTAAGGAAAGAACAAAATGATGGGAAGAAGATATCCAAGCAATTGAAACACAAATCAAAAGTAGAAATCCAATCAAAGAATTACAAAAAGATGTCAAATGGCTAAAATAATAAATGAAACAGAAAAGGAAGAAAAACACAAGAAGAAAACAAAGAAGAAACAAAGAATGAAGATGAAAACTACAAAGAAAAAGAAGAAATTAAAGTACTACAAAAACAGATTAAAAGATTAGAAGAAGAAATTAAAGAATATCAAGCAAAAAGAAAGGAAGAAGAACAAACCATCTCAGATGAAATGATAGAAAAAGCAAAAGAAATAGTTAGGAAAGAATTTGAAGAAGAAATAGAAAATATGAAAAAGAAAATAAGAAAGTTCAAACGAATTATAATGAAAAGAAGAAAGAAAATGAAAAACTAACAGAAGAAAATATAAAATTACACAGTGAAATAAATGAGATAGAAGGAAAATCATGGAAATGAATAACAAAGAAGAAACCATTCGAAGTCTGAAAACCACTAAATGGAAATTACAGAAGGAAAATGATGAACAAAAGGAGAAAACAGAAGAACTGAAGAAAAAAGGTGAAATACTGGAGAAGAATAATGTGTTAGAGAAAAAAGCAGAAGTACTAGAGAAGAAAGTTGAGGAGCTGAAAAGTGAAATAAGAGATAAAGAAAAACAAATCTCTAAAATTCAACAAACAGCAATAATAAGTCAAGAAATTGCAGAAATAACAAGAGAAGAATTAGACAACACAAAAAAAGAAAATGAGACACAAAAACAAATAATATCAAAACAACAAGATGATATTGAAAATTTTATCTCACAGAAGGAACTAGAGAAGAAGAAAACGATGATACTTGTGATAAATACACAACCAGTATTGAGGAAAGCATCATCAGGAACGATGGAGATGAACGAAGTTATTCCGATGAAAAAGACAGTAGTGGAAATCGAAGAGAAAAGCACTGATTGTCAAAAAACAAGAGATGATAATCAGACAAGAAATACAACAAAAGAAAGAAATCAAATTTTAATTGAAGTGTTGTATTGTTTTGAATTAATTGGTTGAATAAGAAATTATATAAGAAATTAAGATGGGAACAAATAGAAAGTATAATAAAAGTAATAAACATCAATGTCAATAATGAAAATGAATATATTAATTATGTTAAAATATCACATAAAATAAAAGAAAATACTAAACGGTACATTAAATTGAAAGTAAATTATATAATAGAAGGAAGAGTAGAGTGTAATTCAATAATAAAAAAATCATATTAAAGAATAATTCTACTGAAATTGATGAAGAATATCTTAACACTCTCATCAATAAAATAAAAGAAATGAAAATAGAAAAATGTACTAACATTAATTACTACTGGAAAAGAAAAGAAACTGACGAATTGATAATGGAAATTAATAATAGATGGATATGGTCAGGAAGCAGAATGCAGGATTATATGCAAGACGATATGAATAATATTTCAATGATTATGCACTTTTATCTCCAAAATAAAATAATAAGAGATAAATTTGATGAAATAAAAGAAATCCTAAAGAAAATAAATAGACTAGAAGATTTGGTCAAGGGAAGGAAATGGTACAGAATAAAGTGCATCATGAAATTAAATGAATATGATGAAGAAGGAATAAAAGTCAAAGCACTAGAAAGAATAAAGTACCTAAAATATATGATGACTATGATAAAAGAAAGAATTAAATTTAATAAGGAAGAAAGGGTCAGAATCAATACAAATAAAATCATGTTTGATTCTAACAAGAAAATTAAAATAAAGAAGAAACAAAAAATGAAATATACAAAAATAACGATATTAATTTAGAATATTGGAAATCGTTATATGAAACACAGGTGATATTAAATAAAGATAAATTGAAAATAAAACAAATCACCTCGTGGAATGAAAGATATAGAAATTATGATAATGTCATAATAACATTAAATGAATTAAATTTAAGTATAATGAAAATAAGTAACTGGAAGGCACCATGAATAGACATTATATATTTGTATTATTTGAAAAGGATGTCATTATCAAGAGAAATCATTCTCAATATCTTTAATGAATGGTTGAACTTCCCTGAAAACATCAAATTAGACATGGTAAGTGGAAGAACTTTATTAATCCACAAAGTGATAGGAACGACGTCACTAATTATCGTCCTATCAGTTGTACAAATGTAATTATGAAAGTATTTACCTCCATATTAAAAGAAAAGATTCACATTAGACTTAACATGATTAATGAATCATTTAAAATTAGTAGTAATCAACTGAGATGTAAATTACAGTCTTTAGCTGCTAAAGAAGGAATAATAAATAGTTATATGATGAAGCAGCAGAAAGAAGAGAAATAAATAAAATATGTGGAGTCATATTATGACATTAAGAAAACATATGACACAGTAAACCACGAATGAGTAATTGAATCATTGAAATATTTTAATTATGAGTTTGTCATCATTGACATAATTGAAAGTATGATGACTAGATTGAAGATATTCATCGGTTATAAATTTAATGAATATCTAGGTAGTATTAAATTAAATAAATGAATTTTACAAGGTGATTCATTATCAAATCTACTCTTCATCATTCAGATGAATGTAATTTCTCAATTCATCGAAGAGAAATTCCCAAAATCAAATCATACATTATATATGGATGATTTGAGAATAATGACACAAAGTAGTGAAGAAATGGGAATAATCCAAAATGAAATTATTGACCGACCAATACATCAAAAAATGGAAATGTCATCAAACAAATGAAATTTTAGAAGATGGTTCGATTCAAAATGAGTAGATAAAACTACTACAATGAAAACATGGAAGTCAATCAATATTAAAAAGAATGCATTTCTCCAATTAACTAAAATGCAAGATGGAACAATATTTTGTTTGTATAGAAAATCAAAAATAATGAAAAATGAAAGATTGAAATACTGCACACTTTGTAAAGACAAGATAGCTACAGTACAACATATTCTACTATCTTGTATTTATCATAATAAATCACAAATAGAAAAACATGACCATATTGGCATAATAATATTGATTAATAAGAAAATATACATGAAATAATCAATATAAAAACCTCCATATGAAACAATGTTCAAATATAAAGACATCAAAATGATATTGAACATACAAATAATACTTAAAAGTGAATGACAATATCACAAAATATCAGATATATGTGATAGATAAAAAGAATAAAACTGGTCTAATATTTGATATGACTAATGTGGCTGATCACAATATTAATGGAGCCTATTGGAAGAAAAGAAATAAGTATAAAGAATTAAAGAATATGTTAATGAAAATAGAAAAATTAAAAGATGTCAAAATAAATCCAGTAGTAATTTCAATAAATGGAATAATAAATAAAGAAAGTAATAAATTAATTAAAGAAATAAAAATTGAAATTGACATCGAGAAAGAAGTAAAAAACTTTGTAATTAAAAACATGATGGATGTCATTGAATATTGCTTCAATCATAACCAAACATACTCCATAGAGATGCTAGAAGAAGACTCATTGTGATTAGTCTCCCCTGAGCCAGGAATAATAGAAGCTATTTCTATTAATACTTAATTAATTGCTTATTATTTTCTTCATTGTCTTTTGTTTTTCTTTAAACTCTTCTTTAATTTATTCATTTATCTTTTTCTTTTTGATTGAATATATTTCTTGAAGATTATTATACAATCTTTTTCTTTTATTTTCTTACTTTTTGAGTATTTCTTCATACTCTCATTTATTCTATTCACTTCTTATTCTTTTTATTCTTTCTTGTATATCATTTATTGTTATTTATATTTGTTATTTGAATAATCTTTATTATTATTCTTTATCTTGTTTTTTATTTGTTTTTCTTTGTGTCTT